CCCCTCCTCTGGGCCCTGAGTAGAGCAGTGACCTAGGCCTAGAACATTCTGTACTTGCAGCTCAGGACTGCGGGTTCGCACAGAGTGAGAGTCATAGAGTCACAGCCGAGCCTGGGGTTTGGCCCGAGTGAACTTGGCCATGACCCACACACCCCCACTTGCCTGACAGATTTGAACTTGAGAGGCCATGAAGCCACCATCTTGCCTCGCGTGGGACTAACAGCAAGCACACTCCACCCGTGTGAACCCCATGTCATCCCAACCAGAAACACCCTAGAGAGGCCCGCTTTTCCCCACCTGAGGGGGGCGAGTGGAGGCACGGAGGGAGCCCCAGCTCGGGCCCAGGGCTGGTGATCGTGGTGCCAGCACTCGGGTCCAGCAGTGATGCCAAGCCCTCCCTGCGACGGCAGCACCCCAGCAGGGAGCGAGGCTCCGCCCTCATCACGGCAGGCCTGAGGCCGGCCCCAGGCTCTCAGCCACATGGGCCAACAAACCCCCTCCTGCTCCAGCCACACACCACGTTTGCCGGGTTTCCTATAAAATCAGACCAAGAAGTCCTAACGGATCACACATCGCCTCGGTGGGTGGCAGGCATCACCACCCCCTCCGTCATCCAGGCCGAGAGCCGGGACCTTGTCCTCCCTCCTCCTTCTCCCTCCTCCCTCACATCCATCTGCTGACCGAAGCCTGAATCCCAAATATTGCTCGGATTGGTCCCCTTCCTTCCCACCCTCGCCCAGGCCACCATCACGTTTGCCGGTTTTTGACCACTGCCTCCGTGCTAGCCCTGCCTCCAGCCTGCTCCCACCCACATACGGAAGCCTAATTCCTCACGACTCAGATCTGACCGGGTCCCACCGTAAGACCTCGCTGCTCCCCACCCTCCCCAGGCTGCCACCCGCTGTGCTCACCTCCCTGCACACCCACTCTAACTCCCCTGCTTCCGGGGCACCGCGGCCACGCCCCGCGGCCCAGAAAGTCCTTCCTCCCTCCCCTTCTTCGCCCCACGAATGCCCATCCACCGCCTCTTCTACAAGCCCGGCCCCTGCACTCCGGGCTATGGACACAGGCACTTCTCACCGACGTTCAGCTCGTCACCGGGCTGTGAGCCCCTCAAGGGCGTCGCTCTGAGCCCCCGGAGGTTGCCCGGCACGGAGCCCTCACTCAGTGGGTCCTCGTGGGGAAGGGGATCAGGGAGGCGGCCCTAAAGCACAGGGGGCGACCCTCGTCTTCTCTGAAGATGGTTGGGTTTGGGGAAGGGGAGGAATGGTAACATCACATGATAATTTCCATACAGAAAGCCCTTTATCTCCAGATTAGCCCACTACCCATTTGATCCTCACAAGGACCTTCGCTGCCTTCGTTTTTATAAGAGAAGAGACTGGGGTTCAGGAAGTTTACTCCCTAGAATTCACTGAGCACGGTCACAAAGCCCACTCTCATTGGAGGCACCAGCTGCGGCTGGACTGGGATCAGACCCCAATGCACAGGTATAATAGAAAGAATGGGCGTTCTTGCGCACACTGGCCACAGGGGGGCAGCGGAGTGCTGGGTGAGAGTCGCTGTCGCCTCGCCTCCTCCACCTACACAGATCTGGACCTGAGACTGGAAAAGCCACCCCTGGGGAGACCTGGGAGGGGGGCCCGGCTGGGGCTGCTGTTTCAGATCTGCCAGAAACAGCTCAGACCAGAGGCGGACAGCGGGACCACTGATGCCAAGAGTCTGGAGCTGGAAACAAAATGATACCACAACTGCACCTGCATATTTATAGTAGAAAGCGAACATCACTGGGTATGTGAATTCTGAATAATGGTTTATATGAGTGCTAGCCTTTAAACTGGTCTTCATGCCCTCATTCCCAAGAATACCAATATTTACTAATCCTTTGTAAGTGCAACTTTGAAGCAGATTTAAGTGAAACCTTCAGGCAGTTTTACGTTTCCTCCTTTTTGCTCTCCTATCACCCTGTTCATAACTCTTTTATAAAACTGTCCACAATTTTTTATTTTCTATTTTGCTTTTACACTTGTATCTTCCATGGCAAAGTGTAGACAGAGTTCCTGGAGGTCAAACTTGTAGGACAGCATGTTTCGTAACAACTGAGGGGGCATCGCCGGGGCACCCAAGACTTCCAAAGGGGTGGCACTGGCCCTCCGCTCTCAGCAAGGACAGGTCCCTGGGCGGTCAGATTATGGCCACCTCACAGGGACAGGACGTGACCGTGTCCTCCGAGGCCCAGCAGGCTGGGGCGCACCAGCACCGGCTGCGGAGCACCCAGGATGTGGCCACTTGGGTGCCCGGGGCCCTCAGCCCACGCCAGGAGTCCGGGAGGCTGCCTGGAGCCAGTCAGAGGCGGCATCGGAGTACATGGGTCTTCGGCGGAGGTCTCACCAGGGCCGTGGATCCTCTGTCGGGTTCCAGCTGGCGGGGAGCACTCTCTGGAGAACAGACCATACAAGGCTCAGGAATCTGTAAGGGACAGCTGCCCCATCTTTTTTGTCTTTGTTTTAAATATGTCCTTACTGATTTCAGAGAGAGAGAAACATCCATGATGAGAGAAAATCACTGATCGGCTGCCTCCTGCACGCCCCACACTGGGGATCAAGCCCACAACTGGGCTCATGCCCTGATCGGGAATTGAACTATGACCTCCTGGTTCCTAGGTTGAAGCTCGACCACTGAGCCGCACCGGCCAGGCACAGCCCCGTCTTTGCTGGAAAGGGAGCTGTGCTCTGTGGAAGCCAAGGGATGAGCTGAATAAACCCCAACAGCCCTTTCCTGCTCAGGGTGAAACTCGGGGGCTGGAGGAAAGTTAGGGGAAGACCTCCACCCACCTGCTGCCAGTCTTCCCCCGAAGGACAGTGCGGGCTGAGCGAGCTTGGCAGGGACCCAGGTGCCAGCCTCCCTCTGTGGCCCTCGGGCCTGCACCCACCCCCACCCTCGCTCCTCGCTATAAGCTGAGAGCCGGGTGACGGCTGCTCCCATTTCCCAATTTTCTAAATTCTTTCCCTTCCCACTCCGTCTGGCAGCCTTGACCAGGGTCAGCGCTCCCTAGCAAACATCTCCGTATCTTCCCCCAGGAACACGGGGGCCCCCGGCTCATGGCGCCCTGGCCCTCCAAGCCCTGGGCTGAAGGGAAGCACAGCAGAAGGCTGAAGAGAGCCTTTGCCTGCCCCCTCCTCCCCCCTCAGCCCTGCGGTGTCAGCAGACAGGATGCTGCTGGGACCCAGCCCTGCCCTCTACCCACCTACACCCCTAAAACCACCTGGACGGGGACCCAGACGCCAATCCAAAGGCATCATCACCCTCTGCGCTGGCCACTGGGATTCTTCATGGATGCTATTCCAGCGGACCTCCGGGCCCGCCCACCCTCGGTCACACCGGGAAAGCTGAGCCCAGCGGGCGGGGAGCTGCTGCAGCGTCCTGCTGTCCTGGCAGCCGAAAGCATCTAACAAGGCCCTTGGGGAAGTACGGGCAGGAGTGAGGCAGCAACAGGGCGGGTGGGGCGAGGAGTTTGAGGGGTTGAGTTCTGATTTCTTTGAAAATGAGGGAGGGGCCATATTTTGCATCAGCATCCCAAAAAGTAATAGGAAATAGGGGAGGCGGGGACAGAGCAAGAGGGGCGACCCAAGTGGGGACTACTCGCTAGGATGCGGCCATCCCTGAGATCAGAATCAGGAGCCCCCGGGCCCCCTTCCACCTGTGTCAGTCACTTGGGCACATCGCTGCTTCTCTCTGCGCCTCCCGGTTTGTAAAACGAAGGGTTCGCCGTGGGCACGGGGGAAGCGGAGCACAGGGAGAAAGCACGGAGAAGCAGCGAAGCGATGGGCTTCATCCAGGACGGGCGAACCTGGGGACAGAGAGGGGCTCCCACGCCAGGACACAGCACTGCTTCCCCGGTGCCAGGAGCAAACACGCACCCTCAGTGCCCCAGGGGCCCTCTCCAAAGGGGTGAGGGTGGCACCGGAGGTGAGACTCCCACAGCTCAGCAAGGCCTGAGAGGCTCGGCTGCTGGGATTGGCACCAGGTCCCAGGCTGCTGTGTGCAGATCACACGTGGGCAGCTTCACAGCTGCTCAGCACCCTGCCCACACTGCCCCTTGCCCCTCACCAGCCCCTGCCCACATGCACTCCGAGAGGGAAGCTGGTACTGCCTCTGCAAGCAGGCGAGGGCTCTCCTGTGGAGCAGCGAGCCGTAGAGAACCCCCTAGAGGCAGTGCCCCAGGGACACCTGCCAGGAGCCCCTAGGTGCAAGGCTGAAGGAGAGGGACGGCGAGGGCTTCTCTGCCCAGCCCCCATGGCTCCGCCCCCCGTGCCCTTGGCCTGGAATCACCGTGTCTTTAGGCCACCCAGGCCCTTCCCTCCAGATGGTTCCAGTCCTTGGAGACAGGAGGCAGAGAGCCAGATGGAGCCACACAGCTGGGAAGCATCAGTCCCAGCATCCTGGAGAAAGTGCCCCTGAGGCCCCCCAGCTGCCAGCTCCCTGCCACCCGCCACCCACAAACACTCCACGGAGCTCCCAGCTCTGGGGCACCACCCACCACCCCAACTGAGCTAGGGCTGGGGGAGCCCCTTTCCCCTGCACACACACTCACTCACACACACACACCACCCTCAGGGGTCATCCCGGCCCCAAGAGGGAGGTCACAGTGAGAAATCTCACTCCGTTTACACTTCTAGGAGGGGAGGATGAAGTCAAAGGCTGAGGCTGTCTGAGTTTCTGTCCCAGTCTCTCCTCCCAGGGGTATGGGCGATGCCGGGGCACCCAGACTCCCTCCTCTCCCACCGCCAACCTCCCCCCTCCCAGGTACAGTAAAAACTGTGTTCTAGAAAAAACAATACCTGGGCAGGGGCACCACTGCAGGAGAGAGAGACGAGGGCGGAGAGCAGAGGCAGCCCCTTCCCTCAGATCCCAGAACCCGGGGTGGGGTGAGGCAGCTGCAGGCCCGCCTGGAAGAGGCGGAACCTGAGGCGGAACCGGAGACCTGAGAGTTGTGTCTCTCACCTGTGCACCCACAGCCTCAGTGAAGGGGGAACCGGAGCCTCCGGCTCTGCAGCAGTCCTCAGCGCACTCTGACCCGCACCGGCACCGCGGCAGCTGCCTCCCTCGCAGTCACGCACCCAGCTCCAGGGCTGCCTGGACGGGGCAACCCCAAGGGCAGGGGTCCTAGGAGTCTTCGCTGCCCGGCTCAGCCTCGGGGGACGCGTGCTGCCCGTGGGCCAGCAGAGCCCTCAGGCCCTGGGCGCGCAGGAGGAGGCCGCCCCCCAGGAAGAGGACCCCGCAGAGGACCAGCAGCGACAGCACGCCCAGCACCGCGGCCTGCAGGGCGCGCGGCCCCTCGGGGAGCCCCGGCTGCACCCCGGACTGGTTGCAGCAGCTCAGCCAGGCAGCTCTGGCCGCCTGCGAGGCGTTCATGCTTCCCCTCAGCTGCCCAGATGTGCCCAGATGTGTGCAGGACCCTCAGGCGTGTGGGAGCCCAGGCGGCAGGCGGAGGACTGCGTCTGGGAGGGACCGGAGGGGCGGGTCCCAGTCGTCCTACACCCCCACCCCTTGCGCAAAGCACTCAGGCCCCTCCCAGACCAAGGGCTCCCACAGCGTGGACGCCAGCCCAGACTTCCAGGCCAGGGGTTCTGTCTTCTTGTCTCAAAGCCCCCACACCTGTGCCTGCGAATCTGGCCTATGCTCCCAACCAGCAAAACCCAGGAATCCTGTCCCCCAGGCGCCCCCTCCCCTCTGTCAAAGGAAGTTGAGCTAGTACCTTTCCCAGAACCCTGAGGAAGATCTTCCAGACCCCTCCCAGGTGTGGGCTGGGGTGCAGGCCGCTGAGCAGGAGCCAGGGCTGTACGCCCATTTCTGGGCTGTCTGCTCAGTGCTGCTCGCTCGATGGCCCAGGTGCCCCGGAACAGGAGATGCTGGTCACTGACAGCCTCTAACCCCCGAGTGATGCCCACCCGCCCTCCCCTTAAGGAGCCACGAGGGGCTGGACAAGCAGGCCAGTGCCTCCTTGGTCCCACACAGGGAGAGGCGAGGGGGACTTTAAGGCCTACCCCTGTGCCTCTGTGCAGGCCCCAGAGGGCAAGAAGAGACACCAAAGCTTGGGTTCTGACCTTGAGAAAACCAGCCCCCTACTTCTGGGAAATCACAATGCCGGAAGGATGGAGGTGTTATTGTCCTGTCCACCTGGGGAGTTTGCTGCCAGCTGGACAGCCCACAGCCACGCCAGCGTGGGAGTCTGGGGAAGCTGGAATGGAGGGAATGCCCACGTGTCTTGAGAAACCCTGTAGCAACCTTGAGCTCTTTTAAACAAAGGCACTGCTGCCCTAGCCAGTGCTGCTCAGTGGTTAGAGCGTTGGTCCACACACCAAAAGGTCAGAGGTTTGATTCCCAGTCAAGGGCATGTACCTGGGTTGCAGGTTCATTCCCTGGCCCCATCAGGACACATGTGGGATGCAACCAATTGAGGTATCTTTCTCACATCAATGTTTCTCTCCTTCTCTCTCACCCCCCACTAAAAATCAATAAAATATCATTAACAAAAAGAATACCATAAAGTCACTGCTAGCAAACACGTGTCATCCAACTCGAATGAAAGATCAGCTGATGGCCAGCTAAGAGGAAAAGGTCCCCAGACTACAGGCCAAGTAGGGCTCACACACCATTAAGGAGTTGCTGGGGATAGGCCTTCTCTATCTCCAAACCCCTGGGTTCTCCGGTTCCTCAGAGATCAAGGGCAGGACATCACAAAACCTGTCATGAACTAATACCTGGCCACAGCGGCTGGGAATGAGAAAACCGTGCAGACACTTCCTGGCAATCCTGGCTCCTACCTGCCTGCTCCAGCACCATCGGCAAGACCCCTCCTCCACCCCAACCATTTCTCCCTTAGCACCCCTCCCTACACACAGTCTGTTACAACTGGCCCAGATGCAACCAAAAAGCACTGCAAAATATGGAATAAATCAATAAAAAGCACGCAGTGGAGGCCACTGATTTTGAGTATGCCTATACTGAAACAAGTGTGAGCTACCACAGTAATGTTCTAGCCACCAGCCAGGCCAGCCCAATCTGGAAGTAGTGTCACCAGACACCAGTCTCAAGCTGGCCCATCTCTCCCCAGAGAGAAACCCAAAATCAAATCCCTCGGTGCACGCTGGGTCTGTGTGCACTAGGAAGACAAAGAAGCCCAGATGGCAAGGCTCAGTGGTTGAGCATCAACCTATAAACCAGGTCACAGTCTGATTTCCGGTCAGGGCACATGCCCAGGTTGCAGGCTTGATCCCTGGTGTGGGGGGTGCAGGAAGCAGCTGATCAATGATTCTCTCCTCATTGATGTTTCTGCCATCATAAAGCAAGACCACGACATACAGGCCAGGGATGTACAGCTTCCCTAGGGAGGAGAAACAGCACTGTCACATCTAAAAGCAACAGAGCCTCCTCACCAGGTTGGTTAGAGCATCGTCCCGATACAAGATTGAGAATTCGATCCCTGGTCAGGACACATGCAACGATCAACCAATGAATGCATAGATAAGTGGAACAAGTCAATGTTTTTCTCTCTCTCCCTCTAAAATCAATCAATCATCTATATATTATATATAAAAGTCTAAGAACCAGCCGACAGAAAAGACAGGTAGTTATGATGCGCACTGATCACCAGGGGGCAGACACTCAACGCACAGGCATAGAAACATGGAAAAAACTGATCAATCTCAGGGAAGAGAGGAGGAAGTAAGAGGAAGGGCAGGAAGAGATTAACCAAAGATTATATGATATGATACTAGAGGCCCAGAGGTGGGGCCCCTTGGCTTGGCCTGCAGGGATACAGCCGAAACTGGCAGTTGGGATCCTGGGTTGCAAGAGGGTGCAGGCCAGGCCAAGGGACCCCACCAGGCCTCTAGGTTTTAAATAAATAAATAAATAAATAAATAAAAGCAATAGGTCCTGACCTGTATCTTCAAAGGACTGACCTTGGTCACACCCTGGTGGGTAACATCATGTGAATGCCCAACAAAGTGCAAAATCAGTCATCTTTAATCCATCTGTAATCCTATCCACCCATTCCCCTCATCTTGGATTAATGTCCTCCACATCTGTGTCCTCACAAGTCTGCCAGAAAGTGTCCGTTTCAGGACAGAACACAAGGCAAGGGAGACACGGCTTAATCCAAACTCACATTCTCAACTTTATTCAGCATCACAGCGATGGCCCTTCTATACAGTAGAGAAGGGGACCCACCGGAGGTGGGACAGTATTGGCCTGATTGACCGTCAGTGAAGGTTACGAGGCTGACCAGAGACTGGCAGCCACAAATCAAGGGAGCCAGGGGACGGCCCTCCCAAGTCTGATCAGGACCCGGAGCAGGTTCCAGAGCGCCAGGGGCTAACAGTACAATCCCCAGAAGCCAGCAAGGAGCACCCAAGGCACCAGCGTGGCCTAGAGAGCAAGGGTGTCCTTGATGAGCCTGCGCATGGTGGTGGTGACCGAGGTGCCCAGGGCATCGGTGATCTGGAAGGAGATCTTGTAGAGGTAGGGCTGCACGTCCCGCAAGCCCGTGTCGAACACGTTGTCCACCTCCGACTGCATGGGCATCTTGGGCAGGTACTCGTGCCGGTTCATCACCTCCACGATGTTGATGACCTTCTCACAGAGCTTCTCGCCCACCTTCTCCCGGCAGATCTGCCGCTCCTGCTCCGTGGCCAGGGCCACCACGTGCACCTTGACCGTCCACACTTCCCAGGGGATGCACTCGTCTGAGAAAGGCCAGCGAGACTTCTTCTTCTGGTAGAACTCCAAGGACATCTGCCCTAGCCCGTCGCCACCTGAGTTGCGCAGTGCATCCTGGGAAGAAAGGGTAGCAAATAGCAGGCTAGGACAGGAGTTCTCATCCGGGGAGCACTGCTTCCTACGCCCCAGGGAATTATGCTCTCCTAGTTCTATTAGTCCTTTAGGGAGGGCAGGGAATGATAAACAGAGAAGATAGGAGATTTGGGACACAGCAAACAGCCCGCCTAAAATTGAGTGGTTCCAGCAAAACAAAACCTGTCTCCCTGCCCAACGCCTCCAGCTTTGCTCAGAATTGCTGTTTTTTAAGCACTTATTCTGGGCCAGGCACTTTATATGCACAATCCCACTTAACTCTGGGAGGCTGGAATATTGAGGCAAAATGAGGTTCAGATTAAAGTTATCTTGCCAAAAGTCACAGGCCAGTGAAAGGCTCCACTGGGGTTTGAATCCAGATTGTCTGATTTCAAAATCCTTGCTTTTCACCTTTACACAAAGGGCCTTCTTGCTCCTTCCACAACCACACTCGTTTAGCCCCATCCTTCAAAATGTACTCCAACATCTACTCCCCAGGTAAATCCTACATGCATTCTCCACTACTAATTAAGGACAATTCTTCCCCTTCCTTTGATCCATGACAACCTAAACTCACAATCTTTAAAGAAAAGGAGGGAGGAATATAAAGCCCAGCAATCCTTGATTGGAAAGAAGGAAGCCAAGGAGCCTGGCTGATGTGGCTTAATGGTTGAACATCTCATAGTTTGATTCCTGGTCAGGGCACATGCCCAGGTTGCAGGCTCAATCCACAATGGGGGGCATGCAGGAGGCAGCCAATCAATTATTCTCTCTCATCATTAATGTTTTTCTCTTTTCCTCTCCCTTCCTCTCTGACATCAATCCAAGCACTTTTTTTAAAATATATTTTATTGATTTTTTTACAGAGAGGAAGAGAGAGGGATAGAGAGTTAGAAACATCGATGAGAGAGAATCATCCATCAGCCGCCTCTTGCACCACCCCTACTAGGGATGTGCCCACAACCAAGGTACATGCCCTTGACCAGAATCAAACCTGGGATCTTTCAGTCTGCAAGCCGACGCTCTATCCACTGAGCCAAACCAATCTCGGCAATCCAAGCACTTTTGAAATAATAATAATAAAAAAGGAAGCCAAAGAACAGAAGAGGGAAGTGAGGCAAAGAACAGATCAGACCTTGATGCTTCTCCCTCTTCTCATCTGAGCAGCAAATGGGATCATCTGGTCCAATAATTCTGCCCATGCTCCCCACACCCCCTCCTCCTAGGGTAGCCAGGACCCTTTCCACCTCAGTATGTAGAGCCAACCCAGAGGGTAAGGGTGCTGCCCTCGGTCCTGACGGATGTGCCACACCCTACCTTGAATTCCCCAACCACCTTGCGCAGGGCCCGGTCCAGCTCGTCAGAGGAGACCCGCACGTAGGTGAAGTCGATGAAGTCGCAGTCGACATCCTGGGTGCCCACGGTGCCGATGGAGTAGGTGCCCTCCTTCTTGTAGTGGAACTTGCCTGTGCTGCGATGCAGGAGCACCGTGTGCAGCACGGCCAGCATGGCCTCCTCCACCTGCCGCCCCTCCACCGACACCTCCAGCACCTCCGAGCGGCAGTTCATCCTGCGGCCAGTGGCCCACCACAGGGCGGGGACAGGAGTAGAGACAGGGAGCTTCACCCCACACAGGGGCTGCCCTGCAAGAAGAGCCAGGTCAGAAGACTGAAACCCTCGGAACGATCTTCACGTTACCTGTTCCCTTCCTCCCAGGCCCAGCCCAGCTCCTGCCTCCACAGCCTCCTCTGCATTTCGGCAGCACCCTTAGGCGCTGGGGTCAGAAAGGGGGAGAGCTTTGAAGCCACCAGGCCACACAAATGGCCAAGGCTTGGATTCCAGGGCAGTGGTCGGCAAACTCATGAGCCAACAGAGCCAAATATCAACGGCCAGATTTTTTAGACTTAAACTTTTTCTGACACCACTTCCTCAAAACAGACTCGCCCAGGCCGTGGTATTGTGGAAGAGCCACACTCAAGGGGCCAAAGAGCAGAAGTCTGCCGACCGAGGGTACTCAGTGCAGGTTAGACACACGCTCACTGTGCCACAGTGTCAGGCACTGACCATTGAAGGCAAACACCTGCCCTTGAGAAGCTGCCAGGGTGGAGGAGAGAGACAGGCAGCCAAATGTTCCCAAACTGGCGAGACTCCCAGGTGGGAGCAGGAAAGTCTGATTTCCTGGGACCTTGAATGACCAGGTTAAGGGTTTGAATTCTGTCCAAAGGACAGCGGAGTCAGAGATCACTATGCCAAGATCAAATCTGTGCATCAGAAAGTTAGCTCAGCTTCTTCACTATCTGGGTCACAAAATGCTCTGAGACGTCAACAAAAGCTAAGGAGACTCGGCTTTAAAACCTGACTGACCCAGGCCCGTACACACCAAATCTCACTTTTCCAGGGCCCTCCACAGACCCCACGGTGAGAGCTTGCCAATTTACAGAAAGGCTGGGCAAGGAGTCCAGGTGGAGGCCCTACAGTAGTGGCAGTTACAGAGGCACAACATGGATGTGGGGAGATGAAGGGCAAGGTGTGGGGGCTCCATGTCCAGCGGTCCTGGGTTTGAATCCCAGCTCTCCCATATCTTGCAGGGACCTTACCAAATCTCCCAACTTCTCCAGGTCTGCTTTCTCATCCGAAAATGTGGATTGTTGTGACGGTTAAATAAAACAACACATGGAAAACACAGAACAGAGGTTGAGAACGACGACTCTAAAGCCAGACAGCCTGGGTTGGAGCCCCAGCTCTGCCAATTGCTCACTGTGTGCTCTTAGGAGAGCTACTTAGCTCCTATGTGCCTTAGTTTTTCCAATCTATAAAAAGGGGATTTTAACCATCGCTACTTTAAAAGGGTTTTCTGGGGGATCAGATGAGCTGGCATCTCTAAAGCACTTAAAGCAGTACCTGGCAATTAGTAACCACAGCAGGTGTGAGCTGCTATAGTTATTATGTTGTAATTGCTGCAAGATGATGGCTGGTGGAGTGAGAGGGAAGAAAACAACAGAGTTGAGGACCAGAATTTAGCAGGTAACTGAAGAGGTGCCCAGAGGGAGAGGGGACAGGCACGTTTCTTAGCTGAGTGTTCAGCTTACAAACCTCCCGGCAGGGAAGTCAGTGCCTCCCACAGCAGATCATCCCACCTTTATTTTTTTTTAATATATTTTATTGATTTTTTACAGAGAGGAAGGAAGAAGAGTAGAGTCAGAAACATAAATGAGAGAGAAACACCAATCAGCTGCCTCCTGCACACCCCCCACTGGGGATGTGCCCGCAACCAAGGTACATGCCCTTGACTGGAATCGAACCCGGAACCTTTCAGTCCACAGACCGACGCTCTATCCACTGAGCCAAACCGGCAAGGGCAGATCATCCCATCTTTAGACAGCTCTCCTGAAGGAATCTCTTCTAGTGCTTCAAACCACTAGTCTTAGTTTTGATGCCAGAAGCCAGACAGAATACGTCACACCGTTTTCCACAAGAAGCCTCTCAGCTGTTTAGAGGCAACTCTTCCATCACGCCCTCACCCCTTCCTCAGGTTCAAGATCTCCATCCCCCAGAAACATGCCGACATCGCATCTTATCTACTCGGGGTCCGACAACTCTCTTCTAAGTTTGTCTCTATCCTCCTCAAGCAGCGCTGCTCACCGCTCAACACACAGGGCAGAAATCAAACTGGCTCTGCCTGTAGCTTGGCAGTCAGCCCGCCCCACCTGTCCCAGCACTCAACCTTTTCACAATCCTGTCTCTGTCTCTCGCAGGCGGTAGACAGTTCCTCGAGGACGGGGTCTGTCCTATCCATCACCAGAAACTCGGTCCCTGGAACCTGGTACAAAGTTACTGCTGGATTCACCCGGACCAGGAATGCCAGGTCCTTCCACGGGCTGCTGGATTGGTTTCTTCTACGCTCTTAGAGCCAGAATGAGCGGGGCGGGCTCTCCTGTTCCTGTCTGCCCTCTCTCTAGTTTAACTCCATCCGGCCGTTTCCCCATCTAGAGTCTCCCAGCTCCAGTCCAGCTCCCCTTTCTTCCACACCTTCCCCCTGGGGTGCCCCCCACAAACCTTCAAACAGCCCATACAATGCTTCTTCTTTGTCCCAAGCCCAAGCTCGTCCCTCATTCTCGACGTCTCCAGGAAATCAGTACTGACCAACTCCAGCCTCCTTCCCAGAGCAGCCGCCTCTGGTCTGTGATGAGCTTGTCTGTTCCCTCAGCCTCACCCCTGACTCCCGTGAGCCAGGAGTTCTCCAAAGCTGGGCCTGGGAAGCCTCGTCACTCTGGTCCCCCACCCCCGGATGGCGCAAGTCTGCAGATCACAGGGGCAGACTGACCGATGCGTTCTGAGTCAGGCTGGAGCCCAGGGCACCCCATACCCACCTTACGCGTCCAGGCCGAAGCGGGGTCGCTCAGGCTCGGATCATCCCCTTCCACCTCCTCTTCACACCCGGTGAGATCTCCGCAGGTCCGACCCGGCGCAAGAGAAGGACTAAAAGCAAAACAGACAGTGTTGGGCTACGCATCAAAAACTCGGGCGGGACTCAGGGCAAACTTCCGGCTTGGGTCCCGTTTTCCCACCGCCACTGCCCCCAGAACCTCCACAATTCGGGACCACGGGTGGAGTGGACTCCGCAGAGGTGGTCTCGGGGCGGCCCTCCGCGCCCCGCCTGGCCGGGCTTGGGAGTTCGGGGCGCGCCTTCCCTCCTGCCGGCTCAGGGGACGCCCGCGCCTGCCCCGGAGAAGGTGCAGGGGGTTAGCAAGGTGCCCTACCTCCCCGGACCCGCAGCCCGGACGCGCACCCAATCCACGCGCCGCAGCGCCCGACCACCACCGCGGGAGACGCCGCGCCGGCCCGGAAACGCCTGCCCCGCCCCTCCGAGCCGGACGGCTCCACCTGCCTCCCGGCCACGGGGGGGGGGCGCGCGCGCACGCTGGCCGAGCCTTGACACAAGTGTAGCTGCCCAGACAGTTTTTACGTTCACGCGAGAAAGTTATTATAACCATATGCTGCTATGGGATTTGCATTTTTCCTTGTTCTTGGTTATCTTTCTGATTTTAAGATTCGACGGTGAGAAGTACCCCTTCCATTTGGACGACTCCATTCACTCCCACCACCGAGAATGTTGTTGTGTTTCGGCTGGAACGACTCACTTCCGCTATAGAGACGAGAGGGGAGGAGAGGCAGACGGGCTCGGTGCTGCCTCCCCAGGCGGAGCGGAGTTATCGGCGGCAAGCCTGCCCCTCGGGTGGAGATGCGGTCCCTAACTCTGGCCTCAGAGGCAAGCAAGGGGCACAGATGCCCCAAGATGAGGGGCATGCTAAGTAGGGAGGTGCCCTGGAGATGAGCCAGTTTGCTGCAGGACGCTGAGTGGATAGCAAAATTTGAGCTTTTCCAGTGCATGATAGTCAGGATCCCAGGCCCCACATAGAGACTGGAGAAAGGGGCTTAACCTTCCACTGTGTGACCATCATACAGAAGCGCCTCTTGGTGCTTCACTTCGCCAATCTGGTGGCAGTCCTTGTCAGGCGGGTGATCCTGCCGCTGCCTAAGTGTGTGCCTCTTGACGTCACTCATCCGTGCTGATTTGCTCCTTTAAACAGGGAGCTGTTGTGAGGCTTACAAGAGATAATTCATATGAAAAACCTTCGTGCGCTGCCAAGTGTTACATGCATATTGAGTGCGTTTTTAGTGCCGTGTAACTTCCTGGGAGCATGTTTGGTCCTCCCAGTAGGTTGTATGTCCAGGGCAGACAGGGGTTTCTCCGTAGCTCTGTGAAGGCCCACAGAACCTGGGAGTTAAGATGCTCATTTCCCTAACACACACTTTCTCTTTCAAAGGAATCATACATAACATTTATGGAATGGAATGGAAAGGGCATGATTCTAAGTGGGTTTTATATGTTCATTTAATCGTAGGAGTCAAATTGACGCTGGGGAGGTCAAGTAACTTGCCCAAGGTCAAGTCCTGGGGTTCAAATGCAGGACTTCTTACCTCTACAGAAGTTCTGTTTCTGGTTCCTCCACACCCTGACCCTCTGTGCACTACCAAACTCCAATATGCCACCCCCAACACCTGCTCTCTGATGGAGACATGCCTTGATTAGTAGCATTTTCCAATTCTCCACTACAGCCAATTTGAAGCTCTAGGCCCATGGTAGGCAAACTGCGGCTCGTGAGCCACATGTGGCTCTTTGGCCCCTTGAGCATGGCTCTTCCACAAAATACCACGGCCTACTATACCACGGGCGAGTCTATTTTGAAGAAGTGGCTTTAGAAGAAGTTCACATTTTAAAAATTGGGCTCTCAAAAGAAATTTCAATCCTTGTACCAGTGATATTTGGCTCTGTTGACTAATGAGTTTGCCCACCACGGCTCTAGGCCATCAGTGAGCTCGGAGTTCAGAATGAAAGGATTACATATTGATCGTCAGAGTTACAGTTGGCTCTGAGTACCAGCCAGCTCCAGCATTCCACGGCCACCCACCTGCCCTTCAGGCTTCCCCTCTCCCACCCTTCTTCCAACCCCCCTACTCAATCCCCTTTTCTGGCTGACCTCCCCACCCATCTATTCCCCACCCACTTCCTGCCTCCCCATAGTTCTGCCCTGTGCAGCCCTGGTCTCTGCTTGTCTCTGTCTCAATTGCAGATACCTCTCCCCAGGCAGCCTTGGAATACCCCCAAAGCCGGGGGAAGGAGAAAACTGCCTGCCTTACAGACCAGCGACCTTTCCTGGAGCCTGGACTTAACCTCGGAGGGGGGTCTGTGAGGAGACAACGACAGGTTAGACCCCGAGGGGAGGAACCAGGGGCTGACTCTCGATATAGCAGTGAGGGGGTAACTGAGCTCTCTCTACCTCTGACACCGTCCGTCTGCCTCTGGGCTCTGCGCGGCCACTGCCCAACGACATCATCACCTACTGCCGGCCATAGGGCCTCATGAGGCACCACGGCAGCACTTCACGTGCACAATGGCGTAGGTTTCTCCAACCACTTTGGGAGGGAAATATCATTTCCCCCAACTTACACAGAATGGAGCTGGGGCTTAGGAATATGCCGTGACTTGCTTCCATGGCTAATTGTGTGTGCCAACTTGAGTGGGCCACAGAATGCCCAGACATTTGGTCAAACTTTACCCTGGGTGTGTGTGCGGGTGCTTCTGGGTGAGATTAACATTTGAGCCACTAGGCTGAGTAATCAGACCACCTTCCCTCGGGCGGGTGGGCCTCGGGCAGTCGTCCTGAATAGAACAAAAGGCCTGACCTGAACACGTGAGGGGAACTCCTCCCACCTGTGACAGCGTCCCAGTTGAGCCTTTGGATTTTTCCTGCTTCCGACTTGAACTGAAATATCTGTTCTCCCTGATCTCAAGGATCCCGGCATCCGGAACTAACCATCAGCTCTCCTGGGTCCCCCGCTTGCTGACTGCAGACCGGGGGACTTGTCAGCCTCCATGCTCACGTGAGCCAATTCCTCCTAATAAATGTACAGATCTTGCCGAAACCGGTTTGGCTCAGTGGATAGAGCATCGGCCTGCGGACTGAAAGGTCCCCGGGTTCGATTCCTGTCAAGGGCATGTACCTTGGTTGCGGGCACATCCCCAGTAAGGGGTGTGCAAGAGGCAGCTGGTCGATGATTCTCTCTCATGGATGTTTCTAACTTTCTATCCCTCTCTCTTCCTCTCTGTAAAAAATCAATATAATATATATATATATATATATATATATATTTTAAGTGTAGATCCTATTTGGCTCTGTTTCTCTGGAGAACCCTGAGAAACACTTGCCAAGGCCCCACAGGTACTTTTTCCTCGTTCCACCAGCTCTTTTACCCATTCCTGTCCCTGCTCCCAAACTCCCCCTGTCCAGGGAGCCTTTCCTGCCTGAGGGTGAAGCCGAACCCTCTCATCTGTCTTATCTCAGGCCCAGATGCTAGCCAAGACTTGCCTCCTCTCACCTCCCTGAATCCTTATTGGCTGGTTCTCGTTGCACCTCAGTTCAGATTCCTACACCCTCAAGGGTGGTCCTGACAGCGAAGGAAGGTCTTGGTCAAAATAGAGAGGCTACATGGAATGAATTCTCCCATCACACTGCCACTACCCTGATGACCAAGATGCAATCATTCACTCATTCATGCGTGCATTCATGCAACACATACATAGCTTGTCCATATGCTAGACCCTTGTCATACCAAAGTGGACAAGTCACAGCCCTGGCCCTCCGGGAGCTCAGAGCCTTGAGAGGATAAGGACCAGGAGATACTCCTGGGCGAGAGAGCACACGTGGCATGAAAGAATGGCAGCAGGTTTTGCAGGGCCAGATGGAGCCAGCATGGAGGCCACTGCTGTCATTCCAGACGCTTGCGGCCTGGATAGAAAGGGACACATTCAGAGCGAGGACGAGTTGGGAGGTGACTGGGCACCAGAAGAAGCCAGAAAAGCTGCCGAGAACCCAGGCTAGCAGCCGGTGGAGACGGCGGGAGGGGCATTCTGGAAGTCAGTTCCGGAAAGAAGTGGGGCCACAGGGAATTATTCCGGGGAGGCTTCCTGGGAAAGAGGAAAGAAAAGAGTTGGGGGAGAGGTCTCACTGAGGACTGAGCATGGACACTGAGCGTTCTGAGGCAGGAGGGGCCAGGACGTCTCAGCCACAGCCCAGAGCCACGGCCAGGCAGGCAGCGGGGCCTGCCGCAGAGGTCTGCGGAGGGAACGTCAAGGCCGACGTGAGACCTTGGGAGCAGGCAGCTGGCTTCGCTTGAGCCCGAGGCCTCGGCGGCCCCGCCCATCCTCGCGCAGGTCCCAGGGGAGAGCTGACGCGGCCCGCAGGCCACCCCCAGCCGTTCCAGAGCTGACCCCGGTGGCGTCATAGGGACGACTCGAGCCTCAGCAACAGCCATCCGCGGGACTGACGTCAGGCTGGGGGCTCCTGACGGTCACCGGCCTGGCTGGGTAGCCAGCACCCTGCCTGCCTGCCGCCCCTCTAGTCAGGCCGGGCCTCAAGGGTGACCCGGCCTTCTGACATCTGCCCCCCAATCCCCGGGATCCTGCGCAGGGGCTCCTCCACCTCCCGCCCTTTCTGGGATGTCCCTCCCGGCCCCGCCTCCTCCGGGGCAGAGGAAATGGCTGGGCGGAGGAGAGGGTGGCAGAGAGCGTGAGAAAGAGGCACCTCCCAGCCCCGGCACCACCCGGCAGCCTCTGCACCGACCGGGACGGGGCTGGGAGGTGGCGAGTCCGCTGCCCGCTCTCCTGGGGGAGCAGGCTCTGTCCTTCCACGGGGGGGAAGGCCTGTGTGTTTGTCTCTCCGGCCTCGTTGGGGTGGGGGTGCGGCTTTGTTTTTGTGTTCGTCCCACGGGGGTAAGACGTCCTGCGAAGTCTGCGTCTGCTCCTTGGGGAGGCGTGTGTGCGTCCGTTGTTCTCCGGGTCACGCCGCCAGGGTTCTGTGTGGCTGGCTGTCCTTGCAAAAGGAACGGGCCCTTTTACCCACCCTCGTCAGAGAGTCTGTCCCGTCCCCCCACCCCCCCCCCACCCCGGCTTCTTGTCGAGCTGAGGATGTCTCCGTAGTACCCTCCGGGTGTCCCAGGGTGAGGGCCCTGCTCTCTGATGTGCCCACTGGGCACCCAGTACCCCATCTGCCTGGCATGCAGCTGGGCGCTGCTCCCTGCTCACACAGCACTCTGCTCCTTGGCCCAGCTGCCACCCCCAGTCCCAGGCCTGGGCAGTGCCAGCTCCTGAGTCAGACCTCAAGTCAGACCTCCAGTGGCAGGGTCAGGGCCAGCAGGGTGCAAAGGGGAGCCAGGGTTGTGGGGAGGACGCCTGGAGCCTGAGCCCGGGGGTGAGGTGCAGAGGGGGGGAGAGGAGGGCAGGAGGCAGAAGCCAAGGCCTGAGCCCCAGGGCCCAGGGCCCTCAGGCCAGCTCTGCGTCCTCCTGCTGGGGGCTCTGGGATGTGCCTCCTGCCCTCAGGATGTCCCCTGCTGTGTGAGGAAGGAGACACTGGGGTGGGGGTGAAGGGCTTTTCGTCAGCTCTGCCTTATTTCCTGTCTTCACCACCGGGAGCTGGAGGTTTCAAAGTCCCATTAGCCCGCCTGGGCCTTCCCCAGATGGCCCCGCTGTGAGCAGCGCAGGAGCAGAGCCTGGAGCAGGGCCCCAGACGGAGGTGGGGGCCAGGCCTGGCTGCCCTCGGTGGGTCCGAGCGGCTGCAGGATGAGCGCTGGGGCTGCAAGGCCAGGCCCTGACAGGGTGGGAGGCGGATGGACAGCCTCATCCCTTCGGCCTCGCCTCCTGAGAAAGCCCGGCGGCCGGGGTCTCTGCTGCAGTCAGGGACCCGGCGGGCCCTCGGGCTTGTCCAGGTTTAACCTGAAACTCTCCGGGAACCCCCAGGCCCCGCATCCAGTGACGAGCACAAACACTGCCCTCAGCACTCAGCTGCCTCGTGACCGCGAACAAACATCACCAGCAGCCTGCTGACGGTCCGCTCACCACACCAAGCCCTCCCTCCCGCCTCCGCCTCCGACGGCTCCCTCACGGGCTCCCCCCCGGAGCCGGCTGCACCGCCTCGCACCCCGGACACGCACAGCCCACCGCGCGGCGCCGTGCAGCTCAGGTGCAGCGCTGAGGTCAGGTTGCCCATGACATTGGGAAGCTCCTCAACCCCCACCATCTCCCTCCACCACCATGTGCCGGTCGCGGGAGCCCAGGTGGAGGGCAATGTCCTGCATTCCGGGCACAGCTCCCCGGGTGCAGTGCCCACCCAGACCCTAGACGGAAAGCCACCCCCCTCCCCAGCGCCCCTGGGCACAGGGCCCAGCGTGGGTGGGCTGGGGGAGGCAGGGAGGCAGGCTTCCTGGGTCCCGTGTGAGGACAAACAGCGGGCTTTGAGGCCTCGGAAAATCCCGCCTGGGATTCCAGGCCCTGCCAGCAGCGTCACTGCCTTTTGACTATTGTCCCCGTAGGAAACGGGCCCAGCCCCCGGCCAGCCGAGGACAGAGCGGCCATTGTGAGGCCCCACCAGGCTCAATGCCCCCTTGTTTGCCCTCTCAGCCCCTAGCAAGACGTGGAGGCCAGTTCTTCCAGTTGCTCCATGGAAAGAAAGGGCCGCCCTCCAGGCCAGCCCTGGGGCGGGGCAGGGCGGGTCTGGAGAAATCAGTCCTGAGCCCGGGACCCCCACAGCCAGAGTTCTGAAAGGCAGCCACCACCCCCCTGGGACTTCTCTTATGTCCCAGGCCCTGGGCAGGGAGGCCCAGTGGTTAGGTAGCGAGATACCAGCTCAGCCACTTTACAAGCCAGGTGACCTTGGGAAAGTCATTTCCTCTTCCAGACCTGAATTCTCTTTCGTAAGAACAACGGCTATTCTTACGGGGCGTTTGCTATTGGCTGGGCCCTGTCCGACCCACTTTGCAGGCATTCGTCCCTGTCATCCCCACAGCAGGTTGATGGAGCAGGCGCAGTGATTTTTCTCCCTCTGCTCATGAGGATGCTGAGGCACAGAAAAGGCGAAGTGGCTTGCTCCAAATCCCACAACCTGGAAGAGCTGTAGCCGAGATTTGAACCCCGGCAGTCTGGCCCCAGAGTCTTGTTCTTGACCAGGCTGCTGTGCTGCCTGCCCGTGAGGCGAGGATGACCACCCCTTCCTCAGAGGGGGACCGTGAGGGCTTGAGATCTCAAACATAGGGGGAGTCTCGTGGGCAGTGGAACATAACACTGTAAGTGGAACAACAGATTGATGTTTCTCTCTCCCCCTTACTCTCTATAAAAAAAATAATAATAAAAAAAAGGAAAAGAAAAAGAAAGGAAGGAAGGAAGGAAGGAAGGAAGGAAGGAAGGAAGGAAGGAAGGAAGAAGGAAGGAAGGAAGGAAGGAAGGAAGGAAGGAAGGAAAGAAAGAAAGAAAGAAAGAAAGAAAGAAAGAAAGAAAGAAAGAAAGAAAGAAAGAAAGAAAGAAAGAAAAGACTTGGATTGGTGAGGGGTGGGGCCTTGAATTTGAACCTGTACCAAGCATAAGGTGACCAGATATCCCGTTTTTGACGGGACAGTCCTGATTTTTAACAATTTGTCCCGAGTCCCATGGCGTTTTAAAAATCAGGACTACTTTAAAAATTGGGACTACCTCCCTGCTGACAGATGGGGATACTGAGGCCGGTGAGGAAGAGGGGCTTCTGGGAGAGGGTCCAGTGGAAAAAGTGTATGCTAAAAACAGCTGTCACCATCATTCCGGCTACCAGACCCTGCCCCACAGAGGGGTTCTCCCAGAAGCCCCTCTTCCTCACCAGCCTCAGTATCCCCATCTGTCAGCAGGGAGGTAGTCTGGTGGCAGTGCTCCGATTAGGGGCAGAGGTCCCTGGGAAATCTCCCACCCGCTGGGTGGACTGAGTCCTCTGCCTTTCCATCTTTCTCCTCCATATCCTGCCCTCAGCCTGCACAGACGGACACGGAGTGCAGGACAGGCCAGCATTTCTGTGCTTGAGGAGGGTTAGGGTTGGGGGGTGGGCTGGGGCAATGGAGACCTTGGTCCCTACGTAAGCCCCTTAGTGATGAGAACAGCTGCCACACACTATTTATGCTTCCATTGGTTGATTCTCGAAGGTGCCCTGACTGCAACTTCAAGGTATCAGGACAATGCTCTAACCCAGTGACCTCCCCAGCCAGGGCTGCCCGTCTGGATCTGTGAGGTGGTCTTGAAATCTGCATTTCATTTTTATTCTTTATTTCATTTTTTGTTAATCCTCACCTGAGGATATCTTCCTCATTGCTTTTCAGAGAGAGTGAAAGGGAGGACGAGAGAGAGAAACATCAATGTGAGAGAGACACATCCCAACTGGGGGTAGGGAGCGAACCCGAAACCCAGCTACATGTTTTGTTTTTTTTTAATATATTTTATTGATTTTTTACAGAGAGAAAGAGAGAGGGACAGAGAGTTAGAAACGTCGATGAGAAAGAATCATCCATCAGCTGCCTCTTGCACACCCCCCACTGGGGATGTGCCCACAACCAAGGTAGATGCACTTGAGCGGAATCCAACCTGGGACCTTTTAGTCCCCAGG